GGTGGGTTCTGTGTTCTTTTAAGGTGGTATCTGGCGCCCGAGACTTTTATTTTGTTATTTTGTTTCTATTTGATGCTACCAATTTAGTTTTATTTTCTTTAAAACACACCACAACATAATTTAAATTTTTTAATTTTTTATTATTACAGAGGTTGCCACCCTGCTTCGCTGTGTGTTGTGGTTTTAATCAACATATGGGACGACACTTTGTGATCCATAAATTGTTGTTCAGAGTCTGGGTGTTCTTTGTGCCCGTTTCATGTATGTTTGTTAAGTCCCCTGCGAAACAGGATACGTTCGTAATGCGGGAGTTGTGAGATGGAGATTAACACTTCAACCAGGTTGTGCTATACATGATCACACACTGACTGCGACCTAGCTAATTTAAAATTTACTTATTTATGTTACATTTAAGTACATAATTTTATGTCATGGTACAGGATAGTATAAGTTACACTAAGCCATTACATTTTAAATAAAATTTATCTCGGAGCCAATTAGAAAATTGTTTTATATCATTCCATTTTTTTAAATAATTAATTTCCTTCATGCACAATGATGTGTTTTAAGATTTTATCAGCAAATAGCATGTTACAACCATAGACATATAAGCATACAGTGAACAAGAGCCCCAATCTTGCAATTTAGGCAATGAGAGAGATGGATAATAGATAGATCCCTCTATCTCTTTCCTTAAAAAATTATGTTAAATTTACCCTATATCCAGCACAATTCTTCGAAATCAAGTGTAAGTTTTAACCAGCTAATTATTTATTAAAAAATTAGCATATATCAATTTTATAAGAGTAAAGAGTGTATTTGTATTATACTAGAAATCTTCAGGACCTTCATAACTTATAAAAACCTAGGATTTATTTTCATTAATGTTTTTTAATGATATTCATAGTTATTCCAGCATTGTGTCCCCACAATTCAAAATAGTATTAGAATTCTACTGCATAAATCACTATAGCACAAATATAGTACTACAGATCACTACACAAGGCGTCTATCAACTTATTCAACAGTAATAAATCACAATACTGCAGTCAGAAGTAGTTCAAATAATAATATCCACAATCTTTGTCTCAGCTATTGTTTACATTACACAAGACGATAATACAGTCTGTCGGTACTAATACTGTCTTTGTGTAAGTTTTATCAAACTGTTTATGTTATTATAACGAGGAGCGAGTGCTCGCTATGTACCATATATGGTCTTCGAGTCACATACCACTTATAATTCAAATAATACTCACTTGTTTTGTGGAAAAATCCCAAACCTGACACTGAGTACTTTGGTATCGAGTGTTTGATTACATTTTTCAAGTAAAACCTAACAACCTTCTAACAAGCGAGCTGTTATTTAGCTACTGGTCATAACACCCCCGCCATTTGCGAAAACAAGACGAACAATAATGATTCACCGTTTTTAATTAGTTTCGTACCGTTCATTACACTATTAATATAGAAAATTTCACAAAATACTCTGGGTCATCTAACTTTTAAGTAATAAATTAATGAATCGCTTCAGGCTACTAAATCTAAAATGAATGTCTAATTGTCTATTAAAATGACAGCTAGGCTGTGATTCAAGTGTTTCGTTCTAAAACGTCTTCCATCCACACTTTCGGTGAAACCTACAAAACTGCTTAAAAGAATATGTAGAAAGGGTATACTTTTCTTCTTACGTTTAATTTTCTAAAATGTAGAATAAAAGGGAATCATTAATTTTATTTCAAAATACATGTTTTCTCGAACGATTTAAATATCTGACTGGATTGTCCATAGAAATATAACCATAGAGAGAATACGGGATACAGCGGCCTGTAAGTGGAAGCGTTGCCTATATTGTAAGATCGGGGCTCTTGTTCTCTCTAGGTTATATCTCTACTAGTGATGTGCCGGATATCCGTATCCGTATCCGCGGATATCCAAGGGAGAAGAGAGATCCGTAACCGTATCCGTATCCGTGACTTTTTTGGCGGATCTTTCAATACATATTACATAGATGAAATTCTATATAGGTGATTTTGTATTCACTGTAAAACTCTTAGGTATGTGTTTGTAACACTATAAACAGCAACTTTTTTTCTGGCCAACGTCAAAATGAAAAAAAAATTGGTCCTCCATTCAAATGACCAATCAAATGTTGTTAGTTTGTATGGAGAAACAATTTTTTTTCTTTCGTTTTCGGTGTTAGTCCAGAAGAAAAGTTGTTGTTTATAATGTTACTAATATGAATTCAGATGTTTTCAGTAAATTTAAAATACCCCTGAATAATGGTTATTAGGTAGCTATGAAAAACTATTGAATTCTGTTCAGATTACTTTTTATTTCTTAAAACAAATATTTGGCACCTTTGTATTGCAATCATTTATCGTACTATACTAAATCAACTAGGCAGGTCGTAGGTACTGAAAGAGCTATCTTTATAATGAGATCAATCAAACATCTTTGTATTAGCTTATTAAAATAATGAAATATTTAAATATCAACGGCAAAGCGTCAAGTGGCGACAACTATCAAGGTCACGGGCTCCGATTGAGTAAGAAACTTAAGATCCGTATCCGTATCCGTATACGCGGATCTTGACGCGGATATACTTTGTTAACGATCCGGCACATCACTAATCTCTACGGGGTTGTCCGTGTGGTGAATTAAGAATATGGAGTGTCACACTATAAATGGGCAGAGGGTTTAAACCCATTGGGTTAAAATAGGTTTTTTTGGGAAGAATAGGTTTAACCCCAAACAAAAACCTTTTTTGGTTTTGTCGAGCACGCTATCACTTTCAGACTTTAAATGTGACAAATATTGCCTTTTGAATACATCACATAGTAACTAATGGAAGTTATATTTTTGTTGGAAGGATTTCACCTGTTTCATTTTTTTTTTGATCCCAGTAGATTAGACACCTCTGCAGCAGCTGGAGCTTAGTTTTGAACGTATTTTAGGAAACGATGAGAATAAATTGTTTTTAATTAATGCTTGTTTCTTTTGCTCTTGAATGATCTCTTTCGTCTATGTACCGAATAGATTTTTGACGTGACAACGTCTTATAATTCGATGGAGCCGGTTGCACGTTTGAAAAAACATGACTCATGCGGAGTTACCTCGCTCTGAGGCGTTCCATTTAAGGCTTGAAGTGCAAGCGAGAGCGCTGAACGAGCGACAAAGAGGCACAATCGGCCTCCGCGTTCGGCAGCGTTCGACATCTGTCTCTCTCCTACTTGAGTGAATTTTCTTTTGAAAAATGCAACCATTCGATTAGTATTTTCTTATGACGTTGTCACGTTCAACTATCGTCAGTAAACCGACTTTACAGACAACCGATTTTTTAGAAAGGATTTATATGCAAAGAGATTATCCCTATTTTCATCAAAATCCTGTTCTGTCAATGGGTGTAATTTTATATAATAAAACACATAAGTACATACAATTTTTTTTATGTACAATTTGAGCATATAAAAATAATCATGCAATATGTAAATCTCAGTATTGTCACAAACGAAGAATTATAACTCATATTCTCGTGTTGTTGCTCATTTAGATGATGTGTTACCTTTATTAAAGTCAATTCTAACAAGTGAACTTCCCTGACGAGTTGTCTCACCGACCTGTTTATCGGAGCTTATGTTCCTTATATATTTAATATAAAATATCATTAATATATTTTTATTTTATTTTATTTTTATAATAAAAACATAAAATATAAGCTTACAGTAAAAAGAAACTCTGTTTGAGGAAATTTCAGTGGGTTTAAACTGAGTTTAAACCCACTGAAATCGGTCGGTCTTTTGTCCATCTCTATATAATCATCACAGTAAACCTATTTATCCAAGCGGGACAACAACACTGCAAAGAGAAGGAAAACAGTGAACCATTAAAAGCGGTTGATGATGATGATAAATATCTGATTAAGTAAGGTAAGTCGTTTCTCAATATTTTACAAAAGCGAACTACAAACAAAACATATTCTATGGCATAGCAGTGATTCTGAACAATTTGTTACACTAACCAGCTGAAGCAAAACTTATGTCCACTCTTATTCATAATTATAATAAAGCCCTTGCTTCGGTGATTACTTTATTTTACATAGAGTTAATTAAATACATTGCCTTGTTTTATGTTTTGATTATTATTAGTTTACGAATATTTGGAACATTAAAATTGAGAAGTAATGATCGTAACATCGAATAAACCTATTTTAGGTTTTGTCTCATAAGAGGGCTGTAGTTTTAAAGACAAGATATTAACGACGTGATAAAATGACGTGATTCCCTAATCTTATATATAAAATTCTCGTGTCACACTGTTCGTTCCCGTACTCCTCCGAAACGGCTTGACCGATTCTCATGAAATTTTGTGTGCACATCGGGTAGGTCTGAGAATCGGCCAACATCTATTTTTCATACCCCTAAATGGTAAGGGTGACCCATCCCTAAATTTTTTTTTTAGGCAAAGCAACGTTTGCCGGGTCAGCTAGTTAATAGTATAATTTTAAATTTATGAAGTCCATCATCCATCTGTTTTTGGTAGCGATCGAAACGGTACTGTAGTAGCTTAGAACTACAAATAATATCATTTTACTTTTTTAATGTTAAATGTTAATTTGTGGGAATAACGTTGTATAAAATGCTGGTTTTACTTAAACAGTAGAAAAACTATATTATTTTTCTCTATTTTTCATGCTATAGAAATTCATTTAGCACTGTTGCTTATTTTTTTAAACGGCAATACACATAAACACTGACAACATTATGATCATAGATCATGGTACTCTGTGGTAAGTTTGCTAATCAATCCTGACTCTACGGGCGTACGACGCCTACTCCATTTTAGAAACGTAAACTTATTGCGGTATAGTCGTATGTCGCACTGTATTTGTTTTTGTTCATTGACGTTATCTGTTTATTTTTAAGTTCTCTTTCAAAAGCAAGAACTTTTTAGCAATATTAGTGCTTTAAAGTGTCCGATTATTCAACCGAACCACAAAGATGGCATACAATAAACAATGTGAGTAACGTCTGCTAATATTTATTAATGTAACCTGACTGATATTATTGTTTTTGTAGTCTCTTAACAAATAATTTCTCAACAAATTAAGTGTTTTTAAGCATAATACTCATTGACGTTCTTTAGTTTTACATATTTTCAGTGATACAAATGAAATTAAAGTTCGTGTTCATTTCATAAACCACCTGTATTGATTTCCTCTTTCAGTGGCCTATAAAGGCTATGCGTAATAGCTTACAAAAGCCAACGGTAGAGATAACTAGAAATTTAATAAAATTGACAAATCGCTGAATCAACCATAAAAATATCTGTTTTGTTTATTCTCACTCACTTAGTTATTTCATGATAAGTTTATATTACAATCAATTTGAATCATGTAATGGCTTATAGCTATTAAGTTTATTAAATACACAAAATATTAATACTAACTTAATACACTCCACATACAAACCCAATACCAGCCTGTCTGGCTAGCATGTGTCCAGCAGTGGACTATTTAAGGCTGTTAATGGTGATGACACCTCACACAACAGTCGGGTCCCAAATTAGGCAGAGCCTATTTGCACGATACCTATGCCTTAAAACCAGTTTAAATATTTTTTGTCTGTCTATCTGTTTGTTCTGGGTAATCTTCAAATTCAAAACCGCTGGACAGATTTTGATAATATTTTACTACAAGGTAGCTGTCTATATAAGGAGTAACTTCGGCTATTTAGTCTATCAGAAAAAAACCCTATAACATTTGTCTAATCGGGGAATCGTAAACAAAGTTGTGGGCACCAGCTAGTACACAATAAATATAGATAAATTACATTCAGACACAACAAACATGAGAAAGAAAATGTTTCAGGGGTTTGAGTGTAAATAAACTATCACACAAAAAACTCTAGCTTCATAATATCAGTGTATATAATTATGTAAATATACTAAATACAAATTTAATGAATACAAACACTTTTACTCATGTGTATCACAAGTGTGTCAGATGTTACACTTTCATAGCTGGAAAAAAGGCCGACATCACGTGACTGGCATTCATGGAATACTAACATGAGTGGTACCCTTTACCATTAATAAATAAGGACCATTCACGAAGGTTATTATTCTAGCACAAATACGAATAAATAGTATTTTCAAAATGTTACATTATTATTTAAAAAATTTAGGTCATTTAATAATTCTAGCCAAGCTATTTTTGATGTACTAATATCAAGACTATTTCTATATTGTCTGCAGATAACAACAGATTCCCTAGCCGTTACAATACACCAGGGCATTTTGTATCAGGAGGAGAGGTAATTATGTAGATTTTAATTTTATCAATCATGATAAAGCTCCATTCACTAGAATCAATAAATTTCATTGTATTCTCTGTTCAACCCATTAACCGCCAGAGTTGGATACATATCCAACCATAAGGTTTTGTGCCTCTGACGCCATAGTTAGCTATTTATGACTATATGTTTACAAGAGGCGTGTTTCAATATTACAAAGTTGGAGAAAGTCTTGAATAATAAAAATCTAAGGCAATTTATGATACATTTTATTTTGTCACTTCCCCTAATTACCTACCCATAAAAGTCTTAAGGCTTGTGACGTCATGAGCGGAATATTTATTGTAATAGTGAGGGTGAGGGTCTCATCTTAGTGAGGGTAAATTGAGGTAAAAAAAATAAGTGAGTAGTTATTACATAATGTTTACTATTTCAACACATTGGTTATTGTCACCAAGTTTGGTGCAGAAAAGTTAATAAGAGTTTAGTTTTAAGGTTGTTAAGAAAATACAGAGGAATTTATATCAGATGATAAATTTGATTTAGACGAACAACAAAACGAAACCAAGTTGGGTGTCATCAAAATCTGACGAATCTCTAGCATGCTTCAGATCAACTGACAACAACAAAATTATGGTGATGTGTAGTCCCAAATAAAGTTTATAAATTTTTAATTTCTTTTATACTTACATTAATATATAAAAATTAAGGAACTTACGATTTGCCATTTTCAGAAATGTTCTGTATCATTAAAAGTAATGAAGATTAGTAAAGCACTTACATGGGGGGGTAAAGAAGCCTTGTATCTCTTGTTCTATGTTAAATGTGATTATCTATGAAATTGATTAAATAATCGACTAAGGCTATCACAGTTGTTTTAACTAATGTGGCCCTCACTATCATTCAACATTTTCCAAATCGCATAAATTCAACATGCTGTGACGTCACGTTCCAACTAAGAATCGCAGTTATCGATATTTTATATTCGATTAGCGTTTCTGGGCTAGTTTTTCATATATTTTTATAAATATATGATCAGCTTCAATTCTATTATTTGGAATATAATTAACAAAATAAGAATTTTCTTTACTTTTACTTAATTTACCATGTTATTTAAAATATTCATATCACTAGTAATATTAGTACAAATGTATCATATGGCGCTAGGGGCACATTTCCTTGAAGGAACGTATGGCGGTTCAAAGGTTAATGTATACTTTATTTCTTCCCTATGTATAGTTATCGTCTAGTTTTTCATAGGCCATCAAATTCTCTAATATTTTTTTTGTAAAGCTGTGAATTTTCGCCCCATTTCGAATTCGCCCCAACTGCGAATGTCATAAAGATCATTTCATATAGTCATGTTGCACTGGCAGACATATTATATGTTAATTTTTAATTTATTTTTTAATTTATGTACATTTAAATGTAGTTTTCTGTTCTACGACTTTCTAGCAAGACTGACCTGCCAGTATGACATTGGACAAATAATAATAAAAGTCTAATGTAAATAAAATTTAATATCTGTTACCACAGCTTTTTGCGGAACCCAACCAGCCCCTATACTGGCCTTATAAAGTCAACAGCTACCCTCTTGCCGTGCTCGAGTCAACCAATCTGCAACCAACATCTCTCGGGATTAATGCAAAGTGTAATGTTGCATATAGTCTAGTCTGATGTTGGCAACCACCAATGGCTTTATTAAACATATAAGTTTGCCTGTGGTGAGACTTTCCCAGATGTTGATGGGGTACTGTTAGAGGATAGCTCAGTGGGTTGAGAACGCTGTATGTTCATGAACCATCACATTCGTCAACATAACGCATTCTCTAGACTTAAGTAGACAGTAAGCTGCTCCAGATTTCTAGCATGTGACAACCCTGGCAAATTGTGACTTAAATAATTTTCGTGTATGTCCCGATAAGTCTCACTCTGGTGAGCGATGTGGTTGCAATTTTTTGGGGTGACAGACATGATAGGAATATGGATGTCGATGGGTGATGTGAAACCACCATCACTGTGTGCAAGACGAATGAAGACCCACCAGTCAAAACTTTTGATAAATATTGTAACATTTCATACAATGCAGTTCTCAGCAATGATTTTGTCCTCGTATCTCGATTTATGCTTACACAGTGTTGCACACTGTTTCTTTCGTAAAGAGTGTATGTGGAGGTATGAATGAGTGAATGGTGGAGCGCATCGCCCACACGGCTGACTGACGCCAGCTGGCGGGCCCGCCGGCGCCGCGCGGGGGCTACACGCCGCGCCTCACGCCGCCCTTCGTTAGACCCTCTGCAGTGAGTACGTCCTCGGTACTATTGTATGGGATTTGCAGGCGAATTTATGTTTAAAAATGCCAATGGATTGTTATCTTATCAGAATATTTTAGTTCTGTTTATATGAATATAAAGTAGGTGTCAGTTCACACTTGTGGCATAACTCTGGCTCTAATAAAAATGAAGTTCTCGCCAACATAAAGTTAAATTCTAAAGAATCATTTACGTGTAGAGCTAACTACACAATGCATTATACTCAGTGTCGAAAACCATCAGCATATAGTTATTCTTTAGTAGCAATATTGTTGCAGAATGTCGCCTGCGGATTACTAGCTCAATGTCGTATATTAATAGAATTCTTTAGTTAGATCTGGTGTAAAGTTTATTTTTGAGGAATGTTCGCTTAAGGAACATAGCGAAATATTAATCACACGCCTATAATGTATGTTTGGTGATGGTTTAGAACCATATAAAGGGCCAACAGAATATCAAATTCGTAGATAGACTTTGATATTCTGTTAGCCCTTTAATTAATTATTAGGAATAAACAAAAAAAAAATCGTTTTTTTCTTTGGCCTTATGCCTATGATATATAAATATATACAACTATGGGGTAATTATTGTTCAATAAATTTCGCATGGCTTTGATGTATCTATTTAAAGTACAAATCACAGGGAATAGGAAATCTTCATGGTTTTAATATTTTACTAATCAGTACTAAATGTAGAAATTATGACTAGAATGTACTGTGTGTTGTCCCGTTTCTACATTTATAATATATAATAATAAATAATAATATGATTGTATGGTGACAGCCGTTCTCGCAACCACCGCACAAGCCGATGCCAAACAATGTACAGCCCTCACCAGTAAGTAGACCCTTCTGTTATTGACTCTGCTTCCTTTTAAGGATTCTATCTGACAGAATAAGAATTAACTTTATAAGCAGTAGTAACCGGTCCGTGTGGTGACGGATTAAGAATACAGAGTGTCACCACCCCTATTCATCCCGTGGGTGTCGTAAGAGCCGACTAAGAAAAAAAACTAAGTTCAGGACAACAGCACTGCAGAGAGAAGGAAAACTTGACACAAACCCTATACCAACCCGTCTGGCCAGCGTGGTATAGTAGGCCAAAACCTCCTTTCTAAGGAGAGGCTTATGTCCAGCAGTGGACTATTAAAGGCTGTTGATGATGATGATGAACCGGTATGTAGGAGTAGTGTTTTAGAGCCATGCTTTAGAACATGTTCCGGCTAGAGACCTACCACAGCCTCACACAAGACCGGTGTTAACCAATTCTTGCTTTTACCAAGTGAGTGAAGTGTTACCGGATGACTTTTTCTGTATACCTGAAAAATTGAAAACAAAATTTAATGTAGATCACTTGAATAGGAAAAAGTAACAAACGAACATACACTCAATCAAATTAATAAGTTAGGATAGTCTTAAAATATTATACAAAGTCAAAATTGGTTTAGCTAAAATATTTTGTTTTTAATACAGCCACAGGAGGAAGATATGCCCATGGATCAAGAAGCAATGAGTCAGTCTTTGACGTCAGATGACAGCTCACGACCGTACTGGATGAAACCCAGGTTGCCTGGAGGTATTGTGTATATCTTTACATAGTATCGAATGAAGTCGCTTTTTGTTCTTGTACGCTTAGATCTTTTAAACTACGCAACAGATTTCAATGTGGTTTCATCAATAGATAAAAGGATTCAAAGGAAGCATCAGTCCAGTTGCTCATCTGAGTCTTCCCTACACCAATTTTACCTTCCTGATTCTTCGATCATATTCCCATGGAGGGTTGGCGTCAGGCAGCCAGTCGGCCATAAAAGAAACGAACCAAAATCCTTCAAAACACACATTGCGCTGATCCTAAGTAAAATTGGGAAAATGCCAGGCAATTGTGTTGATGAGTTATTCAATTTTGTTATAATTATGGCAACAAACAAACGACAATGTGTTTGACATTGGACAAATGTGTTATGTTTTCGTCCGTTTCTTAATATAGAATATTTTACCTAGTTGTAACATTCAGTAGGTATGAAGTGAGTAAGATAATTTACGAAGAGACTAGCATAATTTTTAGGACGATGGCTTTTTGGTCGAGGAGTTGCGGGTTCGAACCCCATCTAGCTCTCTACCACCAAAGCATCTAGCTTAGCTGAAGGGGTTAACAAGAATACCTCACATACAGACGTAGGACCCGCTAACCTAATGTATACATTAAATTATTAAATGATGTCTTACAACGATTTTGTATGCCAACATCCGAATAAAACAAAACTTTACTTCAGCGTCATCTACCGGAGACACACCGAACTACATAATAAAAGCTAATTCTCTACCGCGCAATTAAAGTTCTCGCTTCCATAAGCATACATATACAATACATATTTCTTATTACAAACCCTCATGCTGTGGTCTTCCAGACATGATCACTTCCTTCCACTTTATGTTACAGTAAAGAAGATATCAAACAAGGAGCGCCGTCGGCGACAGAACGAGAATCTCCGGCGCCTGCTGACACCAAAGAATGCGCTCATGGTCCTGAACGAGATGATGCCCAACGAACAGGTTACCAATGTAAGAATCTACTTATAAAAGGTGGACTGGATGAAAGGAACTCTTCACTGTGCACAGTCTATTTTTTTTAGATGAGAAAGAATCCACTTTCAACGTATTGCACCATACAAAAACATTATTGGTAAACAGTAATGGTGACTAAATAAAAACGGATTTAAATGATTTAATAGTCCGTGTGGTGACGGATTAAGAATACAAAGTGTCACCACCCCAATTCATCCCGTGGGTGTCGTAGGAGCCGACTTAGGGAACAAACTACGCAGAAGAACAGCACTGCAAATAGAACGAAAGCTTGAAACAAACCCTATACCAACCCGTCTGGCCAGCATGGTATAGTAGGCCAAAACCTCCAAGGAGAGGCCTATGTCCAACAGTGGACTATTAAAGGCTGTTGATGATGATGATGATGATTTAAAAAAAAAATTCAAGATCCTCTAGGTGAATAAATGCAACAAAATTTAAATTAAAAGTCAGACTGAACCTATGAAAAAGGTCCCCCTTCCTTGCTCTTCTCCATAGGACCTATCTAATGGATTAAGCAACTGGATTATTCTAACCGACTCCCAAACCTGACAGTTCAGAAATTTCTTGAAATAAATATTTTTAATTTACCATCATGTTTTAGGTATGTGTTTAAAGTACACATTGTATATGTTATCCATGGTTTTGTTGGCAGCAATTCAAAGTGGAGCCAGCTCAATACAACACCTTCAAGCCACCCAACACACACACCTTCTGCGCTGATCTCACCATCGATGGCAACGTGTACCAAGGATACGGTCAGTGTTTTATTCATTTACTAACTAGCTGGTGCCCGGGACTTTGTTCGCGTGGAATTTGAAAAGCTGTTTTGCGTTAGTTTTTTTTTTAAAATAGTAAATGATTATTTACAATAAACAAAGTGTAAAATGAAAGAAATTTATTTTATACTCTATATTTTTTCATATTATATCGGGCCCTACTTGATTTAGTATTTCAATGTAAGAACATTTAAGACAACAAAGACATTAGACATTACAAATTGTCGCTTCGAAATAGCCAGTCACAATAAAAATAGCACAATAATAATGCAAGGCTTGTAGTGGAAATTAGATTTTCAATTGTGCCCCCTCAGTGAAAAATCGGATTTGATTTTATTGGACTCGACATTTTGACTAAACACGTAAATTAATGGAAATTCCCTTACACAAGTTGTGGAGTTATACGCATAAATAAATGGCGGTGTGTTGTTGCAGGCGACAACAAGCTGATGGCGCGGAACGCGGCCGCGGAACAGGCCATACGAGATCTCATCATCAAGAAGATGAACAAGGCCCTCACAGCCAACAGCGACTCAGGTTATTGCACGCTATATTTCTAAGATTACATTATCATCTAAGAAGTACCGCTTGACATGGAATTACGAAGTTTATTTTATTTTATAACAAGATGCAGTGTGCAGTGAAAACAGTACTTTTAGATCAACTCCAGGTGGACTATAATATTCTACCACATTTACACAACGCCATCTTTTTTTTCCTCTTTTTTTTTAAAGACAACTCCCGCATTAGGAATATATCCTGTGTCGCGGGGGACTTTACAAACATACATGAAACGGACACAAAGAACACCCAGACTCAGAACAACAATTTGTGGATCACACAAAGTGTAGTAGGCGTAATAGGAAGTGGCGTGGCGACGCCATCCGTGCAAACTAAGCAAAGCTTGTACTATGGGTACCAGACAACTGATATAAATACATTTATACTTTTTTTTGTAAATACATACATATTATACATAGAAACACCCAGACCAAATCAAACATTAAATGTTCATGCTCACAAATGTTTGACTTGAGCAGGAATCGAACCCGCGACCTTTGGAATAGCAGTCCGTTACACAAACCTCTACGCCATCCGGTCGTCAAATCCGACTATAGTGTCGAAACGGACATATCACGGTTATAGCCCCCTTTTTTTTTTCCATGCGGATATCCCCTCGGATACCACCTATCGGTGGCATGTCGGACTCGAACCGACTAAAACCGCACGCCGTCCCGGGTACTAATAGCCGGGGAACCAGGTATACCCTAGAAAGGAAGTCCCTGGTGCCCCGCATACCTCGGGCCATCTACAGACGAGTAGACGACTCCCCACGCTTATATCCCCTAAGGAGGCGGAGTCGTATTAAACACCATTGTTGAAACATCATTCTGTTTGTTATGTTTTAAAATTTTAATCTATACAATATAAAATTACTGGACCGACTGACGGAATCAAACCGGCCCCCCCCTCCCGAAAACGCCGCCCCTGAACGCCTGCAATACTGGGACTACAAAGTTGACATTTTGGCAGCTTTTATGGAATGCCTTTTATTTTATTGGATCTCCAACAAGAAATACACCTTACATGCTAGTTATAAAGCAAATAAAATTTTAAGTCTTGTGCTTCCTCAATTATAGGAGACCACAACATGGACATTACAAAAAAAAAAGATTAAAAACAGTGGCCACAAATGGCCTTTGTAAATAATAAAAAAAAACCAATGAAAGGATTATAACAATCAATTGTGCAAAAAATTGTAAATCAGCAGCAGTTGAAATTCAAAATTTAAATGGTAAGGAGGTACGTCAACAATCACACAGTGTTCAATATATGAGTGCGAACATTTTTTTTAAATTTACCCAGACTATTAGAAAAGATGTCTATGTCCTCCGAAGCAACTGAAATGGTGTCATATTCGCGAGTCATCCTAGCAATTGGTGCTTGCTTCCCTAAATTCATCCGGACTCGTGGGACCGTGTTGGAACACCTATACCGACTTTACTGAGGAGGTCTGGACAGCCAATGTAGTTATGGAACAGTTTGTATAACAATACTATAGTTAAACCGCCGTAAGCTTGGCCCTTCTGATGGTTTGCGGGACGCGGGGCGGGTGATGTGCTCGGCTATACATGACACGATGTACTAACTCTATATCTTCAGATTTATTTGTTTGAGATTTAATCTACACACGATGTAATAAAAATCGAATTTATTTCCATGTATTATAATGTCAGTGTATTGTAAGTTTTTATGATTAATTGTAAAATATAATACTGTAAAATAATTTTAATAAAATCACCTTATCTTCATCATGTAAATTATATTCTGATACAATTTAAAAATTAAGTAAAATAATAAATATTATTTATTGGAACTTTAACAGTAGAACCTCTGTAAGCCGAACTTCAAGTTTTTAAATCACAATGTGACGCAGAGTCGGCAGATTATCCATGTTGCAAAATAATACCGTGTGTAGCAGTCTTAACAAAAATAACACGTACAGCCATGCTTTCACGTCAGTCACTGCCGGCGGACAGCGACGCACTAGCTAATTGGTTGAATGCACCCCCGCCCCGCGTCCCCCAAAACATCAGGAGGGCCAAGCTTACGGCGGTTTAACTATAGATCAAAGATAGTACGACGGTCCCTAAGAGATATAAGGTTGAAGTGCGTTAGTTTATCCTCATAAGTCCTTAAGTTCCTAACCCCAAAACGGTAAGCTAGATGTCGAACTAGTCTCTTTTGGATTTGTTCTATTTTATTTATGTGAACTTGGTACTTTTGGTTCCATACCGTGCTGCAATATTCCAAATGACTTCGTACATAGCTATTGTATAAAATGATCATGGTAGATGGCTTTTTAAATTGTTTCGAGGAACGTAGCACAAAACCCAAGCATTAAGCATACAGGATTTTGTAAAATTCACCCCTTCGGAGAAAGATAAAAGACTATATGTAAGTTTGAATTTTTAAAGTTACAAACGCGAAATAAATAGTCCCGAGAGCGAAAATCCACGCAAGTAATCAATGTTCAGTGCGCGCTTTTGTATTTCTAATATAATTAGTACTCTATTATGTATATATATATAAAAACCGGTCCGGTACGAGTCGAACTCGTGCGCCGAGGCTTCCGTACCTACCCAGATTTTACGTAAATTTTCGCGAAAATTTGTAAGTACCAAAATTTATCTTAATTTTCAACTTCTTTTATTTTTTGGAATTATTCCTTTATTTGTGCTGTAAGAAAATGTAAGCATGTGTTTGTCCCACATAGTAGTAGGGAAGCCTTAGAAGGGATTTTGCAATTTACTCGAGTGTGTCACATTAACGTAAAAGGAATACCTTACGCCGAGTTGAGTACCTCCACCATACATGAACCCTACATATAATGGAAAGCGTCTAGGACAGCCCGTCAGATTAGCTAAAAAAAATCTATGGTCAGAAATACTCGAACGTGTAAGTTTAAGGTATGTTGGGTTAATTGCATACACATTAGTGTGTATTTAAGAAAATCTGACGATTTGAGCGGGACATGAGGCAGTGGGAGCACAAAGTAGCAAAACTAAACATCAAAACACTAATTTTTTTATTTTGAAGCAAACAATGCAATATATCTCTTTTAAATGTCTAAATAATTTTTCGTGCCTTCATTTGTCACATTTTGTAAAAAATAAAGTAATAAAAACATTTCTAACCGTCAGATTTAAAATACCCTGCAAAATTATCATCAGATTTAAAATACTCTGCAAAAATGTCGTCGGATTTAAAATACTCTGCAAAAATATCGTCGGATTTAAAATACTCTGCAAAAATATCGTCAGATTTAAAATACCCTGCTAAATTATCGTCAGATTTTTGGTTAGCATTAGACTTGCAACGAATAGTATATTCGGCAGTATACCGAATACCGAATATTCGGCGAGGCCCCTGACCGAATAGCCGAATATTAGGCAAAAGTATTCGGCTGGATTTTAGCGCCAAAAACTTGTACAGACGTGAATTAAATTATGTACCTGTTTTATGTACCAATGACTACTAAATAAATGATTATAAAAGAAATGAGAACCTTACCCTTCTAAATTTTGATAACCACAATAATTCAAATACATAGAATCCTCCATTTTTCCAATTCAGAAGATGATTATGTACCTGTGTAATGCACCAATGACTACTTAAATGATTATAACAGAAATGAAAATATGAATATATACGTAATCAATCGCTTTTAATTTTTCATTTTACTAATTATTTCTCAATGACAAAATATATTATTTAAGTATTCGGTATTCGGCCGAATAATATGTAGATATTCGGTATTCGGCCGAATATAATAAAAGCAGCCGAATAGGCCGAATACCGAATAGTAACCGAATATTCGTTGCAAGTCTAGTTAGCATGCCAGGAACATTAAGTTGAAGCTGAATAAAATCCAAGACGCTCGGGTATTTGGAAATGACGATTATTCCAATTTGCAGTTATCAAAAATTTTCATTTTCGAAAATTTGCTAAAGCTTGTGTTACATTTTTGGTTTCCCGGCTACTGGTACCCGAAACGGCATGCGGTTTTTAGTCGGTTCGAGTCCCACATAGCCACCGGAGTAGGTGTTATCCTAGGGGATTTCCGCACAGAAAAAAAGTGGCATTTTTAGCGTCCAAATAACATATCCCCAAAATATCTGATGCGCCCGAAAATATATTTTTCCACTAGCTGACCCGCGCAACTTCGTCTGCGTCTCTCAATAGTAATAAATTTTCTCCGTTTTTGAAACATTCTTCATTGGTGCTCCGCTCCTATTGGTCTTAGCGTGATGATATATAGCCTATAGCCTTCCTCGATAAATGGGCTATCTAACACTGAAAGAATTTTTCAAATCGGACCAGTAGTTCCTGAGATTAGCGCGTTCAAACAAACAAACAAACAAACAAACTCTTCAGCTTTATAATATTAGTATAGATTTACCTTTTTGAAAACCTGTAGAAGCTTTTCCCATCGCTGGAAGTAGATCTTTTAAATGCAATAAATCCTCATGACGCTCGAGTAAATTCCCATTTAGCATCATGGGCTCCCCTACTAGAGGATGTCTTACATCATAGGTTTGTGGGGGTAGAGGTGTAGTGAAGTGGATTCTGCGGGTGCGCTAACTGTACCGTGTTGCAGGCTCGACGACCGGCGCCGGGGCCGCTGGGAGCGATGAGGAAGCGCTGCCCATGATCCAGCTGGCGTCCTTCGCGCTGCACAAGCTGTTCACGGAGTGGGAGTACGAGGGACACTCCGTGCCGCAGCTTAAACCCGCCAACCATTCAGCGGTCAGTACTTACTGATCTGTTAACAATATTCTATACACACACTATTATCCCCGTGTTTTTTATTTATTTTGTTTACTATGAGACTGTCCGTGTAGTGACGGATTAAGAATATGGAATGTCACTACCCCAATTCATCCCGTGGGTGTCGTAAGAGCCGACTAAGGGCGCGAAACAACGCAGGACACCAGCACTGCAAAGAGAAGGAAAACTTGACACAAACCCTATACCAACCCGTCTGGCCAGCGTGGTATAGTAGGCCAAAACCTCCGTTCTAAGGAGAGGCCTATGTCCAGCAGTGGACTATTAAAGGTTGTTGATGATGAGACTGTGGCTTCTGAAATTCATTGGGCAATGGTAATTAAATTGTAAAATTGGGTATGTATTGTAACTTAAAATTGAAAGATTAGGACATGTTTCTTTTCATAGAAGGATAGGAGTGCAAGGCGGTATGGTTTTGATCCCTGGTATAGGCATTGGCGTTTGTTGTACTTCTGTAACTTGGTTAATGGCAGAAGAATCGATATCTGACTTAAAATAATATAGAATAATAATACAAATTTCACATTCATCCTCATCATCTTAATTTCATATCATCTCTTGTTGGCACACTTGGCTAAGGCCCAGTGTGTTAGATTTTGTTACCCCTTTAAAATAAAAGGCAGACCAGACAAGGTATAAAATTATAATAATATAATAATAATATTTAATAATAGTAGGCCAAAACTTCCTTTCTAAGGAGAGGCCTATGTCCAGCAGTGGACTAGTAAAGACTGTTGATGAATATTTAATAACACTAAATTAAGTACAAATTTTCTAATACAACATAATTTTCTTAGGTTAGTTAGGTACACAGTATTCTTTTCGTTTTTTCTTTTTTACCTTGTACATACATAGTATTTCACCTCATTGATACACTTAGAAAAAAAAAGAAACAAAATACACACAAAATCATTGATCAATAACCCCATGCTAGGAAAATCCTGTGTTATGGGAGAATAAACAGAAATATCTATAAATCCCCCCCCCCCCCCCCCCCTGCAGGTATCGGAGAGCGCGAGCGAGGCCGCGGCGCCCCCCCCGCGCAAGGCCAAGGAGCTGCCGGCGGGGGCGCGCTCGCTGCACCCCTGCATGCTGCTGACGCACATGCGGCCCAACCTGGAGTACCGCGAGGTGGCGGCCGGCACCGAGCGCACGCTCACCGCGCTCAAGTACGTCTTCACCATGTCCGTGGAGGTCGACGGCGTCACCTACGTGGGGAAAGGTACTACCACCAGCTCTGATACCCATGAAGAGACATCCCCCTCCTTCACTCAATTTGACTGCCTGAACTAAAATCGACTCATCGTAAAGTTTTTTTTGGAACACATTCATATACCTACTTCTTTTTCCAACTCTTCCGATTTTCTTCTGATTAATTTCGTTGCGGGTTCTTAGACGACTTCCTGACTCCCATAACTCGAAGTGTTAGTGAGTCTGCTGATCCTGGTGTACAGGAGTTACAGTGGTGGACGTGTAGGAGGGATTAGTCATATACCAATTCATGGAATTAGTTTTTTTTTTTTTTTATTAACAGAGCCATGCTTCGGCACAATAACCAAATGAGTTCAGAGGTTTAAAGCATAAAGAGTTAACAGACAGAAACACTTTCGCATTTATAATATTAGTATGATTGATTAAATATAGATAAATTATATTATTCTAGTTTTATGTACAATAAAAAGTACTAAGTGGCTCGACTGCTCCCTAAAAAAACTGGTCAAGTGCGAGTCAGACTCGCGCACGAAGGGTTACGTACCATTATCTATTAAAACGGCAAAAAAATCATGTCTGTTGTATATTAGTCCTCTTAAAATTTAAATTTTATTCTGTTTTTAGTATTTGTTGTTATAGAGAAAAGAAAAACTTAACATAAACCCTATACCAACCCGTCTGGCCAGCGTGGTATAGTAGGCCAAAACCTCCTTTCCAAGGAGAGGCCTATGTCCAGCAGTGGACTATTAAAGGCTGTTGATGTGATGTGATGTGTGATGTTATAGCAGCCACAGAAATACATAATTTGTGAAAATTTCGACTGTCTAACTACTAACATACGGATGGACAGCGGAGTCTTAGTAATATAGTCCCGTTTTACCCTTTGGGTACGGAACCCTAAAAACAGACTTATATACTTTATTTTAACCATATATAAGTAGCATATTCCAAGTAGGAACAGGTTTATCAACTATAGAGATGATACCAACTTAACATTGCAGGCGCGAACAAGAAGGAAGCTCGCAAGAACGCGGCGAAGGCGGCCTGCAAAGCCATCTTCGACGTCACCTTCGACGAGGACATCGTGGAGCAGGACTAACCACCTCACGTCGTACCACCAGCCATGGACATCCACAGCCCTTGGACGCCATTGTCGTGTACACTAAAACAAAATACAAATTTAATTTAAAAACAATTAAAAGGTAGTCGTGTATACGTGACATTGGCGTGCACGGGTCACTAAATAGTCAATGACGTGATGTTTTAAAATTAGAATTATCAATTTTAATGTCTAGATATATTTATTTTCTTATATAAGCAGCAATAATATTTCCCATGAAATTTTGTAATGAATGTAAAATACCAGAAACTGATGGTGTATTTATAAAGTAATGAAAAAATAGGCCCAATAGCGCAGTGTTATAAGTGATAACTAAAGCCGAGTCGCGTGGGTTCGGTTCTCGCATTAGGAACATAGACAATTAGGGTTTTTTTTTTCTATTCAACTTGACTTGTATAGTATCAAAAAATATGTATTATTGTACTGTATTGTCGTTGACATATATAAATCTATGTTTGCAAATTTTACAAATTAATAATATGATTTATTTCACAATAATTTTAATCCTCGCAATATTTATGATATATTGTGTCATTCTGTCCAATATGTTTTTAACTGAGATGAGTTTTTTATTTATTGGTATATTTCTATAGGTTTAAGTATACATCTGATTACCGATTCGTTAGGTCAAATAAGAGTTAGATTCTAGAGATAGGAGAAGATAAGAATGGTTCAACGTGTTGTATAAAAATGATCCAATTCACAAACCAATTGTAGTACATACATAGATACATACACCCTCCCTAGCCTCGCACCACCAATCTGTGGAACAAGTTAACGTCTGCGGTATTCCCGGACCGATACGACCTTCAAGAAAAGATCGTACTCATTCCTCAAAGGCCGGCAACGCGCTTGTGACTCCTGAGTTGCAGGCGTTCATAGGCAGCGGTAGTCGCTTTCCATCAGGTGACCCGTCTGCTCGTTTGCCCCCTCTTCCATAAAGAAAAACCGAAAGACAGATGCCTGTTATTACATTTTTTCTAGAAGAACGTATAGGGCGACCAGAGTTATACCACACCCTCATAGGAAACCAGCGTTAACCAATTCTAGACCCAGCCCTCACCCAAACTCTTTTTTCGTCATTAAGTAAATGAATTTTGTCCTCAATATGACCACAGATCTTTTTTTAATAACACATTTTACACGGCCGTCTGATCTCAAACTAGGCAGAGCCTGTGCTATAGCAACCAGATTGGTAATACACATTCTTATACAGGGTGTTAAAAAGTACCGGAACAGCAGAATAATTCGCTAGGATCTATTTTTCGGAAATACGTTAAACACAGAAGTTACAGGAATTTACCCTGGCTATCCATTGGTGACCTTGATCGCAACCTTGAAGGTTATCTTAAGGGTCAAGGGCAATTTTGAAATGGGATTGCATACTTTGATGTTTCGGTACTTTTCCAACACTCTGTATAAGTAAGTGAGTATCACCAGTCTAGTGGCTATAGCACAGGCTCTGCCTAGTTTGGCCTTTTGTAACTGTATATTTCGAAATACAATATTACAGATAAATTACACCCAGACATAGAAAAAAGTATTTTATGTTGACTTTATATTTATAGATCAACACACACCATAGCAACAATTTATCGCTAACTAACAGGCAGTGAATTGGTATTAGTAATTATTAGTAATATGATTGAATTGTGGATAGAATCATTTCTGTACACCACGGTTCATTTGTAGAAATTATCTTGATGTATTTAATTTCCCTGTGACTCCCCATTTGGATGGGGTGAAAATATGTTTTTGTTTGTTAACGTGTAGCCTTATACATTAAATTCGTTTAATTGAATGTGTTGATTTATTTCCGTGTGGTGACGGATTAAGAATACAGAGTGTCATCACCCCTATTCCTCCCATGGGTGTCGTAAGAGCCGACTAAGGGAGAAAACTACGCAGAACAAAAGCACTGCAGAGAGAAGGAAAACTTGACACAAACCCTATACCAACCCGTCTGGCCAGCGTGGTATAGTAGGCCAAAACCTCCTTTCTAAGGAGAGGCCTGTATCTAGCAGTGGATTGTTAAAGGCTGTTAATGAATGAATGAATGAATGATTTATTTCCGTGACAGTGTTTACTTAAAAATTCTCTGGATCGGTTGATATGTGTACCGAAAGCTGGTGTTTTAAGCAATACTTACGTTGTTCTACGTGTGAGATTATTGAAACCCCCTCCCGTAATAATAAAGATCAATATATGTTCGGACTAATACCAGCCGCAAATTACCGCCATCGTTCAACACGGCAAAATTGTCATCCTCATTACCTGGATAGTTGGCGCTCCACTACTGCGACACTGTTTGCCGCACAACCAATCTGTGGAACGGGTTATCGTCTGCGGTATTTCCGGACCGATACGACCTTCAAACCTTCAAGAAAAGAGCGTACTCCTTCCTAAAAGGCCGGCAACGCGTTTGTGACTCCTGAGTTGCAGACGTGCATGGGCGGCGATGGTCACTTTCCATCAGGTGACCCGTATTCTCGTCTGCCCCCTCTAACATAAAAAAAAATCGGGGAAGGGGGAAGGAACGTCCAACTGTTGGCCACTGAATTCCTTTCTGCTGTTTTCATAAACGCTCGAATGCCAACCACACCGGGACAATAAAGTTCTGATCTGTTTTTTGTTTTATAGTACAACGGTCCATCTGGATAGCACCTTTTTTTTTCCGTGCGGAAATCCCCTCGGATACCACCTGTCGGTGGCATGTCGGACTCGAACCGACTAAAACCGCACGCCGTCTCGGGTACTAATAGCCGGGGAACCAGGTATACCCTAGAAAGGAACTCCCTGGTGATCTGGATAGCACCTGATTTTTTGAAATATACTTAAAACTAGTCCAGTGTAACATAAAGTTTGTTCCAGTCTCGTTTTCCTGAACCTACTAACTTTAACCTTTGTTCCGTCTGACATTGGTAACAGGCCCATGGAGGGGTGGCGTTAGGCAGGCAGCCGAACACACATTCGGCTGACTCCAAATAACATTGGGACAAGAGCAGAAAAATGATTAAATTATGAAGTGTAAAAAAAAAATCTATCATCCCGACTGTTTGAAAGTGGTGACAGGCGAGGTGATCATGTCTAGCGTGACGCGGCCCAACGGTTGATGTCGGGAAGTTGTATATATATGCTAGTCGGCGTGAGAATTACTCGTATCGAGAGACAGGATTAACAGTTATTCCGTAATTCGGTGGGTCTTCGATAGATAGCGCTGTAATATGATTTTGTTTCACGGTATGTGGGAGTGGCCACATTTTCATTTGTAACTCTCACAAGTAGGACGAATCCAATGTACTCTGTGGACGAATCATTAAGCCGTTTAGGCTACAGAGCGTGCCATAGAAATTACATACATACCTCCACTCGAAAAACAAATCCTCCCTCTGGCGCAGTCGGGTAAAAACAGAAACATTAATAATATACCTCACACATTTCACACACGGCCGTCTGATCCCAAACTAGGCAGAGCCTGTACTATGGTAACCAGACTGCTGATAAACATACTTATATATTTTTAAATACATAAATATTATAGGTAAATTACAACCAGACAGAACAAATGATCATGCTCATCACACAATATTTGTAATGGGTGGGAATCGAACCCACGACCTCCGGCTTAGCAGTCAGGGGCACTAACCACTCGACCAACAGGCCCGTCAATTAAAAGAGACATGGTTCTTAAACTTAGCTCTCCTCACTAAATATTATATCTATGGCATAAGTGTGGAGTGTAAAATGAAAGAAAAATGTCGACATAACTACATTTATTAACATATTGTATGTTGTACTCGTTCGGAACGCATGTTCGACGCAATCCTAGTTTCATATAAAAGGGCCTAGAGTCATACAACATTGTGGTTAAGTCCGACCAGGTACGTAGAAATACACCCTATCAGGCACTAACCTGGTTCCTGCAGTATCATCATCGTAGCGTGATGTTACACCTATATCAATAAAAATATGCAATACTTTAAGAATTGCTGCTAGTTCCAAAGATCAAAGCGTTTTTTATAAAAAATAACGGCGTAGGAGTCTATGGACGCCGATCGGTACAAAGTTCCTCTCGCTTTTTGGTAAATGGTTGCTAGTGTCGAAAAAAAAGTCTTGTTACACATTCGGTCTCGCTCCCATCCGCTCGCGCGATAAGGAACTTAGTTCCAAAATAGGTTTATAAATTAAACTCAGATTATGTCGTTCGCACACAATATACAATTTTTACTAATATATTTTTGCTTAAGTTTGTTTCAATAGACATAAAATGGGTGTGAAATGTCGAATGCTTTAATACTATATACCTGATCGGGCGTTTTACAAACAGGGGATAGAACAGCAACTTGTCACAGCACACAATCAATAAAGAATGCTACATGCTACTCAGTCTTAGCAGATGCTACTTCTGCCACGCTACTGTCCAAATTTATCGATTAAATACAATATTTCATCATGCGCCTTTTAAATATTATTATCTATGCCTGCGTTTAAGTTTATTTAATACCATAACAAAAAAAGGAATATCATTTAAACAGTAAACATAAACAAAATTACAACAATAAATGTATAACCATCGTAAGGTTTAAGGTACTTCTTTTATTGCCATTTACAAAAATAAGTATCTAAATTAGTATTGCATTCTGAACTTTATGTTGCTGTACGAGGGGTGATCAATAAGTAATGATAATCAATATGAAACAGAACTATTAGATTAAAAAAAGTATTTTATTTTTCAACATAGTCTCCTTGCAAGTTAATACATTTAGTGTATCTTTTTTCTAAGCCCATGATTCCCTTAGAAAAAAATTCTTTGTCTTGACCCTCCCAAAATGCCTCTACTGCGGCCATCACTTCACTATTGTCCTCAAATTTGTTGCCCCGGAGGTGTTCTTTGAGCCGAGGAAAGAGGTAGAAGTCACTGGGAGCTAGATCTGGCGAATAGGGAGGGTGTTCGAGCAGTTCGAACCCCGTTTCTTCAATGGCAGCCATCGCAACTGCGGCTTTGTGAGCCGGGGCGTTGTCTTGGTGAAACAGCACTCCAGCGCGCAGTTTACCGCGTCTTTTTGACTTAATAGCTTCTCGCAATCTTCTTATTTGGCCTGCGTAGTAAGAGCCTGTTATAGTGGCCCTCTTTTCCAAATATTCCACCATAATAATTCCTTCTGCATCCCAGAAAACAGACGCCATAACCTTTCCCGCTGAACTTGACACTTTGAATTTCTTCGGCGTTGGTGAGTAAGCTCGTTTCCAAGTCATTGATTATTGTTTGGTTTCGGGATCAAAGTGGTGGATCCAGGTCTCGTCCATGGTCACAAAACGCGACAAAAAATATTCTTTATCGGCCTGGAACTTTTGAAGATTCACTCTCGAAATGTCGACTCGTTTCTTTTTTTGCTCGTCGGTTAACATTCTCGGTACCCAACGCGCAGAGACCTTTTTCATATGCATTTTGTTGACAATGATTTTCTGAACGCTGCCATAGGAGATCCCTGTGACCTCAGCTACATGCCTTACGGTCACCCTTCGATCGGCCAACACGATATCTTCCACTTTTTTGACGTTTTCTCCAGTAAGGGACGTGGAAGGGCGTCCCTCGCGATGTTCATCTTCAGTGGAGGTTCTGCCCAGCTTAAATTCCTTTGCCCAGCGTGCGACTGTGGAATATGGAGGAGCAGACTCCCCCAATGTTTCCTCTAAGTCGCTGTGTATGTCTTTGGTAGACATTTTTTTCAGGCAGAGGTACTTGATGACAGCTCTTATTTCATTTTTCTCCATTTTGATGTTTTCTCTTCGACAGTTCGTATTCAAATGAATGTATCTCCCGGTAATGGTGTCCTATTTATAAATTTTTTTGAAGCTGAAGTAGTGGATATATAAGCAAGCAGAAAAAAAATAATTTGGGTTTTTGTGCGTTCTAGAAATACTCGATTATCATTACTTATTGATCACCCCTCGTAAGTAAAGAATATAATCCAAACTTTTATTTTACAGTACATATTATCTTTTAAAGTAGAAAAATAAAATGATTGTAAAATAATTAAAATGTTTTACAATAGTCTGAGTTGAGCAATTGTGAGTTTATTGCTGAGAAATGAACCGTGTCGTGAAAAAACCATCCAATCTACAATCTGGTTCAATCAATTGACCATCCGTGCGATGGCGTAGTGGTTTTTAAGCGGTCGCCACGCCGCTTCCTACTGCGCCGAGTGTTGTGGGTTGAAACCCCACATGGGACGATACTTTTTGTGATACACAAATTGTTGTTCTGAGTCTGGGTGTTCTTTTTGTCCGTTTCATGTATGTTTGTAAAGTCCCCCGCGGTGTCGCGGGGGACTTTAGTGTAATGCGGTAATTGACTTTATAAAATAGAAAAATAAAAAATATAAATTACTGTCTCAAATAGGTATATCTGCATTCATATTGAGTATTAACTCACAAAGTTGTGATGAAAAAATGTTTTAAATAATTTTATTGGAAAACATTTGTCTAACGAGATTTTAATAGTTGATAGCTGAGCACCAATACTTCGATTTTAATCAGTTTGTAGATTGAATAACTTGAACAGCACAGCCCTAAAGTCCACTTAAGTAGGTAGCTTAGGTACAACTGTTAATTCATGAATTGGATTCCTCATAAATCTTACGGGTGTATCGTAACCGTAGCGGCGGTAAATTATTATTGAAAAAAAAAAACGCGACAATTGATTTGAATAATATTTTTAAATATTACAGTTCAATTTAATTTATTTATACAGTAAAAAAATGAAAGTTCAACTGCCTACTATACTTATCTGTAATTTTGTATTAATGGAAATTCAATAAATAGCAATTATTAAATTTTATAAATTCTTGGACTGATGTTTTAAGTCTGATTAAACTAGTGGCCAAAACCTCTAAGGAGAGGCCTATATCCAGCAGTGGACTGTTATGGGCTGTTGACGATGATGATGATGAAATTAGTGAAGCTTACAATCTTTTGTGGGACCAGATTATTTTTTTGAAGACCGATATCAGGCAGAAATATATCGAAAGAGAAGAAAATACAAACTCGTTCTGTTCATTTTCTTCTTTTCTTTGTGAAGAAGAAGTGCCTTCCCAGTCAACAGTAACGGAAACAGTTTATAACTAGGTACGCTAAACATTTAGAAATATTGACACCTATGACTCTTTAAATATTTTGAGGCAGATAAACTTAAAATATCTAGCTTAAAATACAAATACCAAAACAATGTATAACAATATAAAAAAACTTAATGTATAACAAAGTAACAACCTGGCAACACCGAAAAATAATAATTATGGAACGTATTGAAAAAAAAAACATAATATAACAATAATAGCTGTATATAACAAGACTTGGACAGCGGGAATGTTATGTAACGTATTGTAATGAGTTTATGTTGCTTTAAAAAGTTTTTAAAGATCTTATTTGACATTGTCAGGAGAAAATTTTAATCCATCAAAATCCATTGCGATTTTTCCATAATATTATATAATTGTAGTTGCAACCAACGATGAGCGCTGCCCAAATCTTGAATTGAATAGGTTTGATAATATTGCAAAGATACATATTCACTAGTATTGGCACACCGGGGTACCTGACAATTTCTACGAAACGGCATATACACAGCAGACATAGGTTACTCATATAAATTCCCATAGTCACATACAGAATCTATGCAAGTATCAAATAACAGAGACCATATTTGGCTTTATTTACTCAAATACAATCCCATGCGATAAACCTATGCCTAATTCAATTACAAAACATTTGCACTCATTCTATATATCTAACCTAAGTTTCATAATTTCTATACATGAATTAATTTGGACGTAATTTTCCGAAAAGCGTCATTCACAATGTTCCAAAAATCTTAAAAGATCACTCTCAACGTCATAGCTTAAAAAATAATCTAATTGAAAACGTCAAGACGACTTCTACTAATCTCTGAACACTCTAGTTCCTCTAATGGACGAAGAGCTAATACTTAGTTACAACAACCTGTAAGTCCACATTGACAGCGGGTTCTGCAGCAAGGCTAGGTGAGGGGGCTCCTTGCCGCCTACTAGCAGCACATGTAGCTGAGTCTCACCATTCCTGGGAACGCTTCTTGCCCGTCTTTCACTCAAATCTTGAAGTTCTATATCTCCTGGCCCGACACCTGAATCAGGCGTCAAAGCTATCCCCAAGTTCCTCACGTCTGGACCTAAGTAATGTGGATTGCTAAACCCTAAGGAATTCCCCGAAAGCCTGTTAACGCGCTCCGCACTTGCATAGTCGGATGTGGATAATTCCGCGTCTTCTTCATCAGTTATAATAGTGTCTTTTGTGAACCTTACCGACGCAGACTTAGGCATGGTTACCATGGTGACTCTCCCATCCACTTTTATCGACGACATACCATCTTTTTTTTTCTTGCTATCCATTTCACGTCGCATATCTTCTTCTTCTTCTGAATCGAAATAGACGAGCTTTGTCGCTTCCACAGGAGATAATATCGGTGTAGGAAGAATCATATCTGCAAAATCAGGAACTGAAATGGGTTCTCTAGATATTTCTGATCGAAATTCTGGGACATCTCCTTCTTTTGGACTCTCGTCACCATCTGCAGGTTGTCGTTTATCGATAACATACGCTGAATGTGATTTAGATAACGCGGCAGCTTCTTGTCTTACTAAGCTTTCAGTTGAGTCTCTGTCTCCAGCTAAAACGCTGTAAGAACACCGTGCGCCTCTACGAATATGGAACGATGATAGTTTTGATATTTCTTTAAGTAAGCTGGCTGGTGGGTCTGGTCGGGTGTTGAAGGAATGCCTATTTGTGTTCATTCTGTTAATGGGAGCTGACCGGATGCGCGGCGGTGCAGCCGGGATGAGGAGAGCACAGCAGTCTACTCGAGGCGATGGCCACTTGAGGGACTGGATTATTCGTTCCCAAGTTTCTGTTGCTGCAAAATTAATTACATTGAATTGAAACTACCAGTCATAAAAACATTCAGTGAATCATGGATCAACACCAATCAATATTTATGCCAAGGGTACTGGTTTGAGGGTTGTCTTACCGAAATGAAACCTCCAGAGCTCATTTGTGGAGTGCCCGTGAGTTTCTCCGCCAAAGATGTAGAGGTGAGCTCCTGCCCTTAATCCTGCATGGCCGCTGCGGGCGCTCGGGGAGAGCTTGGCTGGGGTTCGGACTTGAGTCCAGATGCGAGATACTGGAAAAATCGTCAGGTAGTTAAAACCTCTTGTAGAATTAAGGTAAAGTAGGCAAATCTCGAATTAGAAAACTTTAAAAACCTTTTCTTTGTGGTGTTCAGGTGAAAGTAACTTCTGACCCATCGCACTAAAAAATTACACTACCAGTAGTGGCATGGGTAATTAGGAAACGGTCATACATCCTTCTGACCCATTGCATTACTAAATTACAGTACTGGTAGTGTCATGGAGAATGTTTTTCCCTTTTGCACAACTGACCAGTAGTTTCATGGGTAATTAAGGAACGGTTATACTTCCTTCTGACCCATTGCACTCCCAGTCACACTCGCATGCATACCAGTGGACCGGTTCAAACGTGAAAGTAATAAAACCCCCACACAAAGTCGACGATACCGCACACCATGGCATAGATAAGGTAGTCATTTCAAGAAAGTGGTAATTACCGGATAGTGGTCATTTTAGGAAAGTTATCATTATAGACCTAAAGGAAAAATATTCCCGATGACTACCGGTATTATACTTTGGTAGTACAATGGGTCAAGAGGATGTATGACTGTTCCTTAATTACCCATGCATCTACTGGTTAGTAGTGCAGAAGGGAAAAAAATATTCCCCATGACACTACTGGTAGTGTAATTTGGTAGTGCGATGGGTCAGAAGTCGCTGAAAGTAAGAGAGAGGCTTTTCAATATATTCTACTTTGAAGAAAGTTTAAGTGTGACTTTTTAGAAATTAGATAAAAAGCCAACGGTGTATTTTGGCGTCTCTAGCTAATAGCCATTCAGTCTTGGCAATGTCGTATTGATTAGGAGTATTATTGTAGTAAGTATTATATCCGTGTGGTGACGGATTAAGAATACGGAATGTCACCTCCCCTATTCATCCCGTGGGTGTCGTAAGAGCCGACTAAGGGAGCAAACTACAGGACAACAGCATTGCAAAGAGAAGGAAAACTTGAAACAAACCCTATACCAACCCGCCTGGCCAGCGTAGTATAGTAAGCCAAATCCTTCCTAAGAAGAGGCCTCTGTCCAGCAGTGGACTATTATAGGCGGTTGATTGTAGTAAGACTACTGAGTGAGAGTTACTGACTGGTGTCGTAGTGCCAGAGGTCGGCGCAGTCGCGCAGGTCGCACTGTCCGCCGTGCACGTAGAGGCGGTTGTCGTGCAGCGCCGCGGCGTGGCGGTGGCGCGCCGGGCCCGCGCTCGCCGTGCGCACCTGCTGCCAGCTCTCTGACTCTGCACACACATACCACCTATATTTACCCTGACTCATTAAGTATTAAGTAAGAAATAAATAATTAACATCAATAGAGCTATGCTTCGGTACAATGGACCGACTCGACCGGAGTGATACCTCGGTCTCACGAAACACCGGTGTTGAGCAAATCGTCATAGTCCTAGGTTAGTGGCGGATCTGACATTTATTGTACTTTACAAGGCAGCCATTTCATAGAGCTGCAATACAATTGTGACTCTCGATTGTCAGGTTACCCGTCTGCTCGAATAGCCCTATGCCATTAAAACAAAATGAGAACGAACGAGTATTTCTTATTACTTGTGTAATTTTGGCTCAGCATTTGATATATAAATATTATCCCAATCATTGTATAGGTACTTAATTCACATAGTTTACATAATTTGACATAGATGATGGAGTCTATATTTAAAAGCAGTTAATAGTCCTGTCCTAATTGGAGAGACCAACCTCAGGACCAACTTTCGGATATGCGATCCCACCCACTTCAATCTACTAGAATTTCAGTCCCGTCTATTCAAGACTTGAGGTATCTCTTACCCTAGCTGCCTCAAAATATTCATCACCAGAACTCCATTTTACATTCTTCTCCACTATTTTAAAACGAAAAGAGTTTTGAAGAACGGAAAGAGAATACTTTACTTACCGTAGTGAAACGCCCAGAGTTCTTGTGTGGAACCACGCAGGTCTCTATATCCTCCATAGATCAGCAGGCAGTCTTTGAGTGCGTGGGCGGAGTGCCCCCTCCTGCCTCGAGGCCCTAGCCCAACACTGCGAGACTCCCGAGAACTTCGCCGTCGCACGGTCGAAGTGTAATTTGATTGGCCAGGGAGCTTACGCCAGGTTTGACTCTGTAGTTTTAAAAAAATATATTATTTTGTGTATCAAGGTATGTATTACAAAGGCGTCAAGTATAGATATCAATCTATTTACATAAAATATAGAAATTATAAAAATAGAACTCAGTACTGAGGTGCGTGTACTAAGGCCGTATGACGTGGAGATAGAGTATTCGACTATGTCTGGAGCATTGAAATCGCGCTGGATTCGTTTTCTGTTTATTACAAAAAAAAACTTCTTTGCAGTAAGCAGGAGATTAACAAAATGTTTCTATATATTATTATTCTTGTTGTAAAACCAACAGTAGTAAGTAGAAGCTGGCTTGAATGAATATTTAAGAGGCTCTGGGTACTTCTTTTACGTGTGCACTAATAGTGCCTTAATAGCAAACTTTAGAGAAAAAGCATTTGAAATTGATTCTCAACATTAGAGTTAAATATAATATATTAGAATGAGGTTTAGTTCATAGAAAGTAAACTATCGTCATGATAATACGGTGACATTAAAGGTCAATGGTAATGCTGCAAAGAATGGTGAAATTACTTTTGTTTATTTATGGACTGCTGAAGAGCTGATACATTTTCTAGGATATTATTGGTATTTAAATGCACTTTAACACTTCATTAAAGTTGGGAAATCTGGATTAAATATTTTATACCTATGACTTTAAAAAAATATTAACCCACTTCGATGCACCATGTACAGATACTTAGATTAGAAAGACTTAGATTAAGTACAAAAAATCACGGTTTTACAAAAATCTACCGAGCGAAGTGCAGTCTCCCAGGTATTTGCAATACACTGTTTTCTTTCTAAGGGGAGGCCTATGTCCAGCAGTGGACTATTAAAGGCTGTTGATGATGATGATGATGACTGTTTTCTTTATTCCTTAATATTCAACACATACAGGTGGTATTTTTTCGTCAAATTTGAATGAGACCAACCAAGAACCTTCTCCTTTCTTTGAAGTGGGTAAAACATTTCCCATGTCCTTGAAATGATTATCATATAGTTGCGTGTTCTTTGGTACATGTCAGCAGTGCATTAAGCAAGGGTTTAAACGTTATGAAGGGTGGAACGCGACCTGTGCTATAACATCTAACTAGGCTGAGCTCGCAACTCGCGAGGATGTGAGGTTTACGTAATTGATTTTCCGAGTTACATCACTCAGTTAGAAATATAAAGTACCTACTAAAAGTTTATACATATATATCCGTGTGGTGACGGATTAAGAATACAGATTGTTACCACCCCTATTCATCCCGTGGGTGTTGTAAGAGTCAACTAAGGGAAAAAACTACGCAGAACAATAACACTGCAGAGAGAAGGAAAACTTGACACAAACCCTATACCAACCCGTCTGGCCAGCGTGGTATAGTAGGCCAAAACCTCCTTTCTAAGGAGAGGCCTATGTCCAGCAGTGGAATATTAAAGGCTGTTGATGATGATGAGGTGTAAAATAAACATTTTAATCAACACTTACATGTAATACCTTGTTTTATGTTTTAGGGGCAAACAAGCAAACAGATCACCTGATTGTAAATGAGTACTGCCGCCCATCGGCACTTCATCATCAGCCTATCGCAGTCCACTGCTGGACATAGGCCTCTCCCATTGCACGCCGCTTAGATCGATTTTGGGCTTCTCGCATGCAGCTCCTACCAGCCATCTTGCGTAAATCGTCACTCCACCTGGCCTGTGAGCGGCGACGTTTGCCGAGATGCGGTCTCCCATCAAGAACTCATTTTCCCCAACGGTTGTCGGTTTTGCGGCTAATATAGCCAGCCCACTGCCACTTCACTTGCAATTCAAAAACAAGCAATACACGTTTCATATCCCACTGATTCTGTCAGGGGCACTCTGATCTGGCATTAAACTACTGACTCTTCAGTACCAAGTGTCCACGGCGGTAGTCACTTTTTATCAGGTGATCTGACTGCTTGTATATGCGCCATTTCCAATAAAAAACTTTCTTACGAACGTTTTTATCCGGAATAAATTATTATTATCTCAACACCTGTCAACTTAACATAACCTTAAAGAACTTGATAAATAAATTCCAAATGGATTTTCTTTTGGTTGGGAATTGGTGATTTATGTGGAAGGTGATAAGCTGATGATGATGATGATGTTGATATATTACATTACAAACCTGAGTATCGTATATCCAGAGAGGAGTCTCGTTGGACAGTGCCCCAGCTTCTCCACCGAACACATACAGTTTGTTCTCATGTGCCGTCGCGGTGTGCTCCTGCAGCGAGGGGGGCGGGTCGCCTCGGCATTCCAACTTCTCCCATCTACCAGTTGCTGGAAGGTATCAAATAAGATGTGTTACGATAACTCTGCACGTCATAGCAATAAAAAGAAATATCGTATCAAATAGATACACTTTATTGCACGTCAACAAGTATTGTACAAACTAGAAATATATTAAGAAACAATGGACGGTCTTTTAGACAACCAAGATGATTTTTTTTCGATACATTTAGTTTTAACTCCACAACTTCATTTGTGCAGTAGTATAAAATCCTTTACTAGCCCAGGAAGTAGATAGTTGGAGCCCTTTTTTTTTTTCCGTGCGGAAATCCCCTCGGATACCACCTGTCGGTGGCATGTCGGACTCGAACCGACTAAAACCGCACGCCGTCTCGGGTACTAATAGCCGGGGAACCAGGTATACCCTAGAAAGGAAGTCCCTGGTGCCCCGACATACCTCGGGTCATCTACAGACGAGTAGACGACCCCCCCCGTGTGGGAACCCCATGTTCCCTGTGCTCCCTGGAAGCGAGCGCGCTTCGCAACGCGCTCGCCGCCACCCCGGCCTGCTTCTGCTAGGGTGACAGATGGCCTCACCTGTCACCCCCAGGCCTGCGCTTATGGAGGACGGAGGTCGTTCTGCGACCTCCGGCGCCTGAGTCGCCTGCGGTACCTGGCCCGTTCCCGGGCCTGGCGGGCCGGGAGAGTCCTAAACCTCTCCCGGTCCCGCTCCGCCGTCTCCTTCGCGAGCATAACTTGCTCGCAGAAGGAGACGGCAGAGTTCCACGCACTCTCGCTCCGCACGATAGCCGCAATCAGGCTATCGAGCGAGAGAACTCCCACTCCGATGGCCGCCACGAGGTCTCGCCTCTGCTCAACCCACGCCGGGCACTCTGCTAGCGTGTGGAGAGCCGTGTCCACGGTCTGGCCATCGCAGTGGTGGCACTCAGGCGTTGGCTCCTTGCGGATCAGACACAGGTGATCCCCGAAACATCCTTTCCCAGTGATCACCTGCGTCAGTCGGTATGAGAGGGTCCCGTGACGGATAGTTGGAGCCCTAAAACAACAACAGTCTTTCTACAGAACTTCGATATCGCCTAGTACTTGGGTTCTGAAGGTCTGATGACAGTCGCTCCACGTAAGAAATGGAAGTACAACAGTATCGTAGTAAACTAAAAAGCGACCCAACCTAGTTTAGGAAAACACTCGGAGGACGTTGACTAGCCCCTCATTTGTGTTATAATAAGTTAGTGGTAAGTAAAGCGTATAAATTATTTTAACAAAGCAATTCATTCCACTCCAGAGAGCACATTAAAATACCTCATTATAATTCTCCGCAATGAAAACCACTGAACAGTAATTAGTACAACGCTAACAGAGATACTCGACCTAAATACACTTGTGCTCTAGAGCAGGGGACTTGCCGAAGACACGTACCTTCGAGAGCACTTCTGTTTCTAGTCACTGCTGACAACAGCTTCTTGATAAATGAGCACGATTTACATTTATAACGCCGTTATTCTGGATAATAAAGTTTGAAATAACAAAAATAACTTTATATATGTCACACACGGTCTGATCAAAAACTAGGCAGAGCCTATGCAATAGTAGCCAGACTGCTGATAAACGTACTTTTTTTTTGTTGATGGAGTGGAATATCCCTTCGAATCGCCGGCTCCTTTTGGATATAGGAGCCAGGAGTATGTGGTGTTTCCACTAAAAACCACTCCGACGGCCAGCCTTAGGCGCCCTGCTCTAGGGAGATGCGTGCCATGTGATTTCAGATCCCCCAGATCGACGCCGCACCTAACTAGGCCCCATCTCAGGGAAAGCCAGTGGCTTCTCCCAGCCTATCAGCCTATCCAGATGTTGCGGCCCGGCATCGGCCCTCTCCCGATCCCGTTCAGCGGTCTCTTTCTGGAGCATTACAGCTTCACAGAAAGAGACCACTGATAAACGTACTTACGAGTATATATTTCTAAATAAATACATATTTAAGATTTACACAGAAGAAAGAATCGTGCCCATCTCACCATGATGGGAATCAAATCCACAATTTCTAGCTCAGCAGTCAGACCTACCACTAGAACAACAGGCCAGTGAATAATGGAATTAGCCAGTATTATTTAACAATTATCCGTGTGGTGACGGATTAAGAAGACGGAGTGTCATAACCTCTATTCATCCCGTGGGTGTTGTAAAAACCGACTAAGAGAACAAACTACGCAGGACAACAGCACGGCAATGAAAAGGAAAACTTGACACAAACTATACCAACCCCGTATAATACCATAACCTCCTTTCTAAGGAGAGACCTATGTCCAGCAGTGGACCAGTAAAGGCTGTTGACGTGATTTAACAGTACTCGTCATCCTCACTATGTTCGGGCCAGTGCGTTTATTTTATGGCCATCATCATCATCATCATCATCAACAGCTTATACTAGTCCACTGCTGGACATAGGCCTCTCCTTAGAAAGGAGGTTTTGGCCTACTATTTTATGGCCAGTCATCATTAAAGCTAACTTTCCTTGGGAATTTAAATAGTATTTATGAGTTTGGAGGTGCAGGCGTCCATGGGCGGTTGTAATCACTTATCAACAGGTGACTCGTCTGCTTTGCCCTCTTAACCATAAAAAAAAACATAAAGGAAATGCAAATTTAACGATGCTATACCGTTACATATTTCATGTAAATTGTCTACAAAACGCTTATTGTTTTAACGTTGAATGAAAATAAATTTACTTAACAGTTAAGCAACGTATTTATTGCCATGATTCTGGGTCAATGTTATGGCGCTCACCTATTTCGGTAAACAATTTGCAAAACACTTTTAGCTATAAAATCATTCATTGAATATTAAACAGCACAAATTAACATACCTATTTGTGGTTTGTAATGTTTTGAATAATAGAAATTGGGTGACAAATAAAATATTGCTCGGTTTAGATAGATAGATAGGTACTCTTTATTGTACACCTTGAATAGGATACGCAGACACTATAGAATACAAACAAAAAACAGTAGTACAATGGACACTCTAATCGCAGTCTGTGAATCTGTGATAATATTTGTGTTGCATATTCTATGTAGATATACATTCTAATAGCCTTATTAGTACTTAAATGTAGAAGCAAAAAACCAAAAGAACAATAACCATTTATCTTTAAATATTTATTTTTTAAACATCATGCGACTTTGGTGCATTGGCGCACTTAATGCCTACGCCTACTCTCAACCAGGCAACCATTGGGTGATGCAGAGAGCACAGTATTTAAATAAACAAACAAAATAATATTTGATAAACCTATTTAAGTACATTTACGAAACGAACACAAAATATAACATATGTTTAAATGTACCTACATAAACATACCTTCTATATAACACATAGAGATCCTTGAAAAGTTTTCGAAAAGTACTTCAAGTGCAATCTTACTTATGCTATAAGTGAAGTGTGATAACAGATGTCAGCTTGATTATTGGTTAATGACGTATTAGACCTGGTGGATCACAGTCATACCGTAATAGTTCTTTTTATAGTGTTTTTCAATAAACATTATTAAATTTATCAGTGGTTTTAGAGTATTAAATCATAATATACATTTCTCATTAGGGTCAACGTCCCTACTGTTACTTCTGAACATACCTACGGATAAGACGGTTCACCTGAATACAGAGTTACTTTCTTAATCTGTTTATGGACACCACATGTACACATACGGCTTGAGTTCCGTTAGGATTCACACATCGCTAGTCACGTTAACTGTTTGCGTGATTGAGTGATTAATGGAGAAATGTATCAACATTTTACAAAACTGAATACTGCAGGAAACATGGTCTTGTTGATAACGTGCATGGTTTATGAAAATTCGATATACTCACCAAGACTATATCTCCAGAAGTCTCTGAGAGGCACAGACCCTCCAGCTCCGCGGCCGCCAAGCACATAAACATGCCCCGCCAGCAATGTGGCTGAGTGCTTGCCGCGAGCACACGGCACAGCACGCGTCAACCCGCACCCGCTCTCCACGCTGCTCCACATCTCACCTGATAATGAGAGGATATCCATAAATAGATCAATATTTAGAAGGAACATGCAGTTACTCATACAGCTGAAGCCCTTTGAAGTCCAGGGAATAAGATGTAATAAACTTATTCAATTATAATAATTTATAACAACGGTTAAATAATGAATTATTCGACTGCACGGATAAGCGGTCGCCACGCCGTTTTCCACTACGCCGAGTGTTGTGGGTACATGGGACGACACTTTGTGTGATCCACAAATTGTTGTTCTGAGTCTAGGTGTTCCTTGTGTCCGTTTCATGTATGTTTGTAAAGTCCCCCGCGACACAGGGTATAATGAAAGATAAGGCGGGAGTTGTCTTAACAAAAAAAAAAAAACAGTTTATAAGAAGAGCTTTGTAAACATTTGCTTAATGCAAATTTGACCATGAAATTTAATCTCTATGTCTATCAGCCTTTTATACGATCAAGATAAAATACTGCACCTAAAAAGCATCGAAGTAAAAATTTATCTACAATTTAAAGGAAACATAAAAATTGCACGCTCCAAGGCATTTGATAAAGTTAACCAAAATTTCGTCTTTCCCTTTTCTTTAATCGAAAGTTTGCGACTTCAAAGTGCCGTCCCTTCAAATAAATGCATTACTCCCCTCTATGTTGTGCACAAAAATCACCAACTACTCGACGTATGGGGTAGATGAAATGCCGGCATCCCTCAGGGCTCTTCGTTGGGCTCCCTTCTATTTCTTGCGTTATAAGTATTGCTTATTACAAGCATCTCCCCGCTTTCGGGAACATGTTGAGAGTTATCATTTACAACGTGCAAATAGTAGTAGGGATTGGTGGTTTTATTTATTTGTCAGATGTTTCGTTCGCAAATTATCTATGTCTTAATGTATTAACTTCTTACTAAGTAGTTAAGTAGAAATCTCATACAATTCGTACGTAGAGATTTTATAGAACATAGAGTAGTTTTGGTTCTATGATATTTTGCACTGAATGCTTCAGTTTAGGCAATAGTATGCATGCAACATGGTCGAAAACTTCAACCAATTCAAAGGTACGTGATGCAAGTGATTGCGTTGAATTACCGCACCATTATCATTTTTTTTCTTTTCTTTTTAAAAAGACAACTCCCGCACTAGGAATACATTTTACAAACATACATGGAAACGGACACAAAGAACACACCCAGACTCAGAACAACAATTTGTAGATTACACAAAGTGTTGTTCCGTGTGGGGATCGGACCCACAACACTCAGCGCAGTAGGTAGCGGCGTGGTGACCGCTTAAACCACGATGCCATCCGTGCAGTCATAATGATGGAGCAAAATATCATAGAACGGGAGTTAATAAGTAAGTTGAGAACAATTAAAGATGCAGTTTTCTACCTGTTGAGATGATTGGAGTTAAAGCTAAGTTTTATTGCCTTAACAAAACTTGTTAACTATGCAAACTGTAGCCATAAATAACCACAATTTAATACTGTTAGTTATACTAGCGAATCGTGTAGCAACCGCAGCGTTAAATAGATTAAAACTTTGTAGATCTTAACAGCTTCCCCGTTTTCTGGCGAATTGCCAAGTTTCTATAGAGTTCAATATACGGGTAACGAATTGTCGGGAGTGGCTTCAGTAAAAATGTCAAAGAATTCAAAAGGGAACGACTTGAATGGTTTCAATAAATTATTGAGTCTGTGGATGTGTTAGGTTTCATTTTGATATCCATGTTTAGTTTCTAGTTTTGATTTAGTTAGTTCACTCGTCCGACTGTTAAAACCGTGAATACGTGTCTACTTTATCTTTTAAAGCGAAAGCGATAACGAAAATTGAATAAAAATATCCTCACATATGTCTCAAACACGACAGTATGATCTCAAACTAGGCATAGCATCCACTATTACATATTTCTAAAAAAATACATTTAAATTACATCCAGCCGCAGAACAAATGATCGCACTCATCACACGATATTTGTCCTGGCTGGTAATCAAACCCACGTCCTCTGGCTTAGCAGTCAGGAACCTCTAGACCAACAAGTCAGTCTTATAGTAAGTAATATAATAATATAATTCAGGCCAGTCAGTAATATCACAATTGCAAAACCCTTTGCTGTATAATTTCATAATCGGAAGTTTTCTTTCGTATTCACACCAACTTATTACAACAGAAAAACCATAGTGACAGATATTACCAAGATGCTTCAAGCCGTCCTTTTAGGTTAGAAATAGGAGAATAGGATATGATAGAAATAATGGTAATAGGTACTTCGAACCAGCCAACGGCGACGCATAATAAAAAAGGACTGTCAGAATCAGATGACCTATATTCCTCTGGGTAATAACATTAAATAGGGCTTTTTACGAGACAAACTGTTCCCACATTCAAGATCATACTTCTATAAAAATGGCTGTCCATTTTCCTAAAGCCTCATCTCTTTGTGACATTAAATATTTAGAACCAGATGGGTCTATAATTAGACCCTGCTCAGGGTCGGACCCTTTGCTTCCCACGTGACATGTTTGACAATTTAACTTGGAGCTTCAACAACATGTTGGAACACTCGGAGGTAAAAATACAAAGTATTGGTAGGGTTCGGAAGGGTCCGGTGGTAATTGTAGGGGGTTCGTCGACGGCGGTGGACATACGTTCGTTTTACGGACTCGTTGTTTGTGTTAAAGAAGATGCATATTTATTTATATCTTGCTGATATTTGACAGAAGCTACTGGGACAGTTCATGTGGTAACGGATTTGGAATATGGAGTGTCACGGCCCTTATTAATATCGTGGGTGTCGTAAGAGCCGACTAAGGGCAAATTTATTTGTTCAAATTTATTTGTTCAAGGGTTTCAAATTTATTTGTTCTCGAGCTTAATTTGAAGTTGTTCAAAGTTTATCAAAAACGCAAATTATAGCTTCACTTGTCTCAAACTCTCTTTATTTCATTTTTTTTTTTAAATTGCTTGAAATCGTCTTTTATGTAGACTCTAAAGTCATAGATCAACACACACAAAAGCAAAAATCTCTGTTTTGTCAAATAGTAAGCAAATAAATTTAACAAAAACCAAACCCATACAAAATCTATGATATGCCTGTGCCGATCTACAACCGGCCGTTTCCAAGGGTCCAATTTTAACATTGTTTATTTCTAAGCTAACTTTGTATATATACTTTTTAGGAATATATCCCGCGTTAGGAATATATCCTGTGTCGCGGGGACTTTACAAACATACATGAAAAGGACACAAAGAAGTTCTGAGTATGGATGATACTCAGAACAACAATTAGTGGATCTCAGAAAGTGTCGTCACATGTGGGGATCGAACCCACATCACTCAGCGTAGTAGAAAGCGGCGTGGCGACCGCTTAAACCACACCGTGCAGTCGAGTGCATTTATAGAAGTTTCCTTATTTTTTTATTTACCTAATAGTTTGTATGAGGTGGGAGAGCCATGCCTACCCACAGGCGTAACATCATAGCCTCACAGAAAATCGGTGTAAAGTAATTATGTCGTTGTTTTCACCTAACTCTGATCTTCAAAGGATGAGGTGGTGGTCGCTTACTATCAGGTGGCCCGTCTGCTCGTTTGCTCCCTGTATCATAAAAAAAATTGCATCCACACATATAATACTAGCTGACCCGCGCAACTTCGTCTGCGTCTCTCAATAGTAATAAATTTTCTCCGTTTTTGAAACATTCTTCATTGGTGCTCCGCTCCTATTGGTCTTAGCGTGATGATATATAGCCTATAGCCTTCCTCGATAAATGGGCTATCTAACACTGAAAGAATTTTTCAAATCGGATCAGTAGTTCCTGAGATTAGCGCGTTCAAACAAACAAACTTTTCAGCTTAAAATATTAGTATAGATTATAAAAGCGAAAGTGTCTGTCTGTCTGTCTGTTTGTCTGTTACCTCTTCACGCTTATACCGCTGAACCGATTTAGATGAAATTTGGCATAGAGATAGTTTGAGTCCCGGGTGTCCTTTACATAGGATAGTTTTTATCTTGGAATACATTCTTAAAGGGGGTGAAAAGGATAATGGAAGTTTGTATAAGGAATCAATAACCTCTGAATCGATTCATAGTTTGATTCTTGATGAAGGATATAGGCTACGTTTTACAGCGATAGCCGACGTACACGCGGGCGGAGTCGCTGGCAAAAGATAGTGGCTTGATAAATCTAAAACGAGTTACACATTTCACATTCCACTTGCAGGATAAAAATAATGATATTTCAAACACCAGACACCTAATGTACTCATTTATATGAAGTTTAATTCTTCTCTCTGAAATGTCTCCTACATAGAAATTCTGAATCGGAACAGGAAGCCTTACTCTGTGACATTCCTTTGATGCTATTCAGCTCTTGGACGGCCTGTAAACAGGGGGAGTGAGCTTGTTCGGAGGTGGGGTAGTGGGAGGGCCGAGAGGGCATTACCTCGTCTTCCTGACGAGTGCCCTAGACTGCGGTATCGACAGCATTAATAGAGGATGGGATAAACGTTTTTTATAATGAATAACACGTAGGCTTTTTTTAAAGCACTGTTTGTGTGATAATTGCTGGTCCCGTAATTTCATGGATATAAGCCGTTTTTAATTAGGAGACAAAACATCGTATGATTTACACGAATATTACAAACTCAGCAGATTTTGTAGTTTGTTTTTAATGCTCGGCGTTGTTTTAGTTAATTAAAAAAAAAACGTTCTATAGAATTTATAATATTACTTAACTTAGTCATGTATGCATAGTTAACAAGTTCGGTTTAAAGACATTTATTTCTCAGAAAAAAGAACAATACAGTTCACTTAGATAATGAGAAAATATAATAACACAAAATAAATTAGTTAAGTATCTCTGTGATCGCAATACACTATACAGTAATATAAAATTAAAGATATGAAGACAATTTATTGGTGTCAGTACTTTTTACTCATGTAATCTTCTAAACTCTTAATAAATTTAAACAAGCTATCACTTTTAGTAATATCGTCAAATATTTCATTATAAAGTTTTACACCTTCATATAATATATATTTC